CCAGCAGCCTCAGCAGCCACCACAGTAGCAGCAGCCACGTCAGCAGGCACAGAGGCCGCCTCAGCAGCAGCAGCAGAGGGGCAGACAGCAGGCCCGAGTCTACGCGGTTGATCAGGCAGAGGCAGCACAACAGCCAGGTACTATGTCAGGGATGGTTGTGTTTAATGATATTCCTGTTTTCGCTTTATTCGATACTAGAGCAACCCATTCATTCATTTCACGACGATGTCTTGATGCCATTGGAGTTCACGCCGTTACCGCTGTCGATCCTATCGAGGTGAGTTTAACCTCGAGACGAAAGATAGTGACCTCAGCTAAAGCCTCAGATCTTAGCCTTTCCATCGGTGGTCGTTTATTGTCTACCGACGCGTTTGTTCTCGAGATGAGGGAATTCGACCTTATTCTCGGAATGGATTGGCTATCCTTCTATCATGCGGATATCAGGTGTCATGATCGGGAGATCACTCTCTATCTTCCGGGAGACGAATCGATCACTTTCTTCGGTTCCAGGAATCGTTCACTGCCTCATGTTGTTTCGATGGCGAAAGCCACTAAGTTACTGCGACGAGACAACTTCCAGGGTTATCTGGTGAGCCTTGTCGACGATTCTCAGAAAGCGCGATCACCTCATGATGTTCCAATCGTTCGCGAGTTTGTGGACGTATTCCCAGACGAGCTTCCAGGAGGACTGCCTAACAGGCAGGTGGAATTCTCTATCGATCTCATTCCAGGGGCCGGTCCAGTATCCAAAGCCCCGTATCGCATGGCGCCTAAGGAATTGCAGGAGCTTAAGACTCAAATTCAGGAGTTGTTACGACTCGGTTTCATCCGACCAAGCGTGTCACTGTGGGGAGCACCCGTTCTCTTTGTTAAGAAGAAGGACGAATCCATGCGTATGTGTATCGACTATCGGGATCTTAACCGGTTGACGATCAAGAACAAGTATCCGCTTCCCAGGATCGACGATTTATTTGATCAGCTGAGGGGAGCCTGTGTGTTCTCAAAGATTGATTTGCGATCAGGCTACCACCAGCTGAAGATTAAGGAGTTAGATATTGCTAAGACCGCTTTCAGGACTCGTTACGGCCATTACGAGTTTGTCGTCATGCCATTCGGTCTCAGCAATGCGCCAGCAGTTTTCATGGACCTCATGAACCGTATTTTCCATCCCTACCCCGATCAGTTTGTTATTGTCTTTGTTGATGATATTCTTATTTACTCGAAGAGCCAGAAGGAGCACGAGGAGCATCTGAGGGTGGTTCTCGAAACCCTCAGACGAGAAAAGTTGTTTGCAAAATTCTCCAAGTGCGAGTTTTGGCTCCAACGAGTATCCTTTCTGGGTCAT